GGATGGAAAGAGGAAAGGAGGGAAGGGGAGAGGAAGGGGGAGGAGGAGGGGGAGGAGAGGGGGAGTGGAGGAGAGGGAGATTCCAGAAGCAGAATCTGAGACTACAGCATTTAGCTTGTTTTTCCAAGGTTACAGTGAAGAGAGATCACGAAGTTATAAGCACCCATCCCTCTAATCTACCCAAGGGTAACTGACCAATGACAGCAACAAAGCCAGTAGCATGTTATGCGTGCCTACTCTTCTCTGTTACAACAAACCCTAATTTTACTGGCAGCTTTACCACACCATCTTTAGAGGAAATAACCCTATGTGACAGGTTCTTGTCAAAGTCCTGAAGAAGGCATATCTTCCAAAGAAAGACAAAGCTCATTCAATGAAAATCCCTCAGCACCCACAGTCTTCTCTAGAATCTGGCCCAGAAAACCCAGCTGCCACTTTACACCTTACACCCCAGAGAAGCAATCCTATCCGAATAGTGTGAGGCTCAAAAATCAGTCTATCTTGCTGCAGGAGATAAATTCAATCCCTACTATATATAAACAGAATCTCCTTGAATTTGTAATTGGAAAGCTTACCTAATTACTTCACCAAGTAAAAATTGTATAGCTTATAGCAGTACAGTCATTACAGCATAAGTCATGTTTATTTTTCCAAATGAATTTCTTCTTCTTTTTTTTTAAAAAAATTTTTTCATAGTACTAGGGATTAGCCCAGGCAGTCATTCATCCACTATTTACCTGAAGATCTGAGCCTGAGCTAACCTTTAAGATTCTACGGTAAATGTGAACCCAGTAAGAGCACACAATAAAGTTAGTAATTGCAAAAAGAAATAGGAAGAATACCGTGATTGATGATAGAGATGAAAGACAAAATTCTGAAAAATACCTTTCACATTGTTTTTACCCATGACTATACAGTCTATTAAAACTGTGCAAGCAACTACTTTTTTTTTTTTTTTTTTTTTTTTTTTGGTCTTTTTGAGGCAGGGTCTCCCTGTAGCCCTAGCTATTCTGGATTCACTATGGAGACCAGGCTGGTCTTGAACTCGCAGAGATCCACCTGCCTCTGCCTCCCAAATGCTGGGATTAAAGGCGTCCGCCACCATGCCCGGGTAAGCAACTATTTAAAAAAAAAAAATTTAATCACAGAAAAATAGCCTTCAGCTTTATCTGCCAACAGTCAACAAATAAGGAATTGGGATTTAGCTTAGTGGAGAGCAGTTTCTCACAAGTTCAAGGACCTGGTTTTAGTCTCCAACACCAAGGGGGGGGCGGTCAAGAAAGTGTTATTACCTTTCTCTGGTCTTGGAGATAATTCACGCTGCTTTTCAGTGACAGTTGCCTTTTCACTTACTAATGGCTGCAGGCAAAACAATAATAAAAATAATGCGATTTATATAATTTATGTGACAAAGGCTAAAAGACAGTAACATTTTATAAGCACTCAGCCTCATACTACCCCTACTTTGCATATTCCTCTGCTTTCCTTTAATAGTCACCAGTTCACTATTCTTGACATGCAGTCCTTATAGACACATAAACTCATTTTCCTACTCTTCCAGAATTTAAACTGTTTGTAAAACATTTCACACAACATTCAATATTATTCATTTTCATATATATGACTCTGACCACATGTTACTTCCTATATTATCTTTTTAGTTTATGACAGCACTCCTCTATATTATGAGTTACCACATATAAAAATTAACTGGAACCACCAGGCAAAAGATTCTGAATATATAAGTATTTTGTAAATACACTTCTTGTAAACAGTAGTATGCACAGTAGTTTCATAATGTGACAGCATCTTGGTATGCATCCTCCTTTTACAAACACATGGAGAAATTCTATGTGGCAGAAGGAGAGGAATACTGACTTGTCACAATAATTAAAGGAATTCAAGGAATGAGAAAAAGTAATGTTTTGAAAGAAATTCCAAAGAAACGTCATACCCAGGGCTCTTAGGATTTACCTTCTGCATAGGCAAAACAATGTTATGGCTACATTACCAAAGTCTCAGCAGAGTCCTGAAATCCTTCTCCACACTTGAGCCATGCTTTAGAGAGGGAGGCAGCTGTTCCCACTGACTTGAGACTTGTTCTTCTCAACTGCTGTGGCCGGTCTTCTAGAAAGGATGAGTGTTCTATATCCCAATTCCTTTTCCTCTGCAGAGGTGATTTTTAAAGAAAAGAAAATCAAATTTGTTATATGTACATTAAAACCACAACCAGCAATTTAGAGGCCAGGAATGGTGGCAGCAAAGGTGGTTTTTTAATTCCTCTGAATCTTCAAACAGACACAGCAACTAGACAGTGTTACAGGAGCAGAGCAGCCTCCTAAGAGAAAATGGTCAAGAGGATAAAAACCTCTGGCCTGGCTGGAGCCTTCACTTCCCAAGTCAACCACCGCTAAAGAACAACCCTAGAAAGGTAAGTTCCTTACATCATGCTAAACAGGTGGAGTACCTGGTGCTTTGATGAAATGGTGACCTTTTCCTGCCTGGAGTCCCCACCCCCTGTGAGTGCTTACAGACTGGGCTTTTTTGCCCAGCTTTTTCTAAATTGTTCAGAAAAGTATACCCTCTCCTTTTTTCTATGTCATTTCTAACCATTCTTTCCCTAATATTCTGGGCTTTTTTACTGTCTTTAAAACTCTCAACCATGCAGCTGATAGACCTTCATGCTGTTGTTTTTGTGTGGGGTTTTTTTGTTTTTGTTTTTTTTATTTTATGTGTATGCATGCATTGCATGCATGTAAACAACTATAATGCCCACAGAAGATAGAAGAGGGTGTGGAATCCCTGGAACTGGAGTTATGGTTGTTAGCTGCCATGTGGGTGCTGGGATTCAAACCTGGGTCTTCTACAAAAACAGCCAGTGCTCTTAACCATTGAACCATCTCTCTGGTCTGCTCCCATGGCAGTTCTAAAGAGGTATAGTTTTGGGGTTTTTTTTCCTTCTCCCTCTATTCTCCTCCTCTGGGCAGTTGCTGGGATTTACAACTTGCCTATCCTGAGGACTTTTCTTCACCTTCTAATAAAATTGTTCTAAAGCTTCCATTTGAGTCCATTCTTAAATTCTCTTATGAGACTAAGAACACTGAAAGAGAACCGCATTTTCTCCTGTATCATCAGCAAAATCAAAAACTCAGTAACACTTACTTGACACAGTGGACCTTACCAGAGATGACAGAGTATATGGGCTCCAGTAGGGGGTGGGATGGGGGGACTACGGGAGGATGCCGGTATGGACAGAGGCATAAAGATGATTAAGACTGAGATGCTGTGTATGAAATACACAAAAATTCAATAAAAACAATTTGAAAACTCACTATCAATAACAACTAGTTAACAAACTTAAAAATACTAATGAATGAAGACAAAGTACCAACAACAATCCAACACATCCTCCATGTGTCCATATCTGAGGGGAAGAAGCCAGAGGGGCAGGACAAAGACCCCGCCCTTGTGGACAGCCACTGCTCAGTAGAAAGTGGTACTGAAAAAGTGACCAAACTAGGCAAAGATTCTGCCCTCAGAAGAGAATGCTAGAGGCAGCACAGGATGGTCAAACTGTCTGGCCATGACTCCCTTGTCCCCATAGTGAGGATAAAGTACCAGTAGTGGAAGCCATGCAGGAGTACAGGGGTGACAGAAACAAAGACAGCATCTAACTGATCAGAACAGAAGGGAGAGCCAGGAGGCATCTCTGAAGCCATGACCAGGTGGTCACATTTTTGTAAGCTGTAAGAAAACAATTCAATGTACAGAAACTTTTCCAAATCCTGCCCACTTTGAAAGTTTCAGAGAAATAATTATGTAAAAATAAACTACAAAAGAGTATCAAGGCCAAATCATATATAAGTACTATTGGGGGACAAAAATAAGGAATAGAATAATATCCCAACACAAAAAGGAAGCACACTCAAGACACACCACACAGGTAAAATGGTAAACCAGTACCCTGCATTTCAAAACAGGGCAAAATATACAGATAAAAAATCCAGAAATGAAATGACAAAACTTTAGAAAGAATAAAAAATTTTAAATCATCTAGGGAAAGGGGATGAAAGCAAAACAATCCAAGGACAAATAACCTGTCACTGATAATGTCTTAAGAGGAAACAGAAGGTGGAAAAGCAATTTTAAACATCTTACCACACATCTTACTGAGGCTTATAAGTAGCGGTTGTTTCTGAAGGGCTCTTGTGCTGAAAACTTGGTCTTGGTGTGAAGTAAGAAGGGTTAAATTTTTAAGGGGCAGGACCTAGTGGAAGGTCATGGGATGTTACCCTTGGAAAGGGTTCAGGTGTCTGGCAAGACACCAGTTATTTCCACAAGAATGAATTGTTATGGAAGAGAAAAACTGACCCACTCTATGGCTCCTGTTCTCAAATGATGTCTCCCTCTCCCATGCTCCCACGTGGGCTGACATCTTACAAAGGGTACTCACCTCTGGAACTGTGAGATAAATAACTTTATTATAGCAACAGAAAATGGACTGATACACGCCTCCAATGAAGAAACGGGGAAAGGGGAGCTCTGTAGAGATACAAGTGTTTTAGGCTTTTTTCTTCTTTTTCTTTTTCTTTTTGAGACAGGGTCTCCCCGTAGCCCCAGCTGGCCTGGAATCCTAGCACTATGTAGACAAGACTGGCCTTCAACTCACAGAGATCTGCCTGCCTCTGCCTCCTAAATGCTGGAATTAAAGGCTGGTGCCACCACGCCCGGCATGTTTTAGGTTTTTAAAGTCACATCCCAGTAAATGAATAAGTGCACAACTGACCAGTAGAAAAGTGTGATATCCTACAGTTTCTCCTAATTGAAATTTTATAGGGTTCATTTTAAAGGAAGTAATGGGTAGGTTAAAATTTTCCACCATTTGAATTTTATTTTTATTCTGAGGAAGAGGGTTTTTAATGTGGTGGGATTTAAAACAGATGAGTATCCCTAGTATCTATCAGTCTTTGTTTCCTTTTGGCTAACAATTATCTCTATTTCTCCTAAGTTATTAGTAAGGAGAAAAGTAAAACTTCTCTAGGTACTCTCAGAGCAGCCCTTCCCTTACCCCCTCATCCCCACCCCAAACTCTCTTTCAGAAGCCTGCTCCACCTTTGGGGAAAGCATCAATTGCAGTTTCTTACAATCCCTTGAGAAGTGGCCAGGCCTTTTATAATAGTTATGAATAATGTGTTTGTTAAGATGGAAGGAGTTAGTGTGTCTCTTTGTCTAGGAGTTTAACTCTTAATTGCACTTTCATAATTGTGGTAATGACAGCATTCTCTTTTTTATAACAGTTCTTGTAAGTTCACCTGCTAAGGCAAAAGGGCATCTGTGGGAAGTGAGATCTGAGCTGTATTATTCCATTTGACCAAAGTGGCGGTAAGTACAGAACTTACTAGGGCATCACTTCTGTGATCCTCAGTTCTCAGTCCTGAGTGCTGATTAAAGATTTTTTTTTTTTTCCACTCCGACAAGAGTTAGGTACAGTTTCTCCTGGCCTTATATTACATTGCTGTATTTTGGCCCAATCAATAATTTGTGGGAATAATTTTGGTATCATAGGGCAGAGGGGGTTTCCCAACTCAGCAGTCAATTTTAGCATTAGCCTGTTTTTCATTAAAATCCTCAAATGGTTTCTTCCAGTCTGCCAAGCAAAAGCATTCTCCCTTACTTCCTAGAACCAATACTTGAGTTAACTGGTTTAAGTCAGAAAATCTGATTCATATGTCAACAGAGTGATCAGAATTTCTTTAGCACATCCTAGAGAGCCCTGCTATGGATCATAGAGAATCCCATAATCAATGATTTCAGCTCACTTTTTGCCCAAGGAATATAAACAGTATCTGAGTCCCCTTTTCCCCTTGATTTTATCTTTTTTTCCCAATAATTTTTTACTACTCAATTTTTTCTTTGACAATTTCATACACACATTGTGTTTTATCTTAAAAGGAGCCATAGCAATTTTTTTCTTTTAGTGTCAGACTTTCTTCCCTTCGGAACTGGTAGAGATTTGGAAAGTAGAAGAGAATGGAAATGAAGGAGGGGAAATTGAACTTCTGATAGAGGAGGCATGGCTAGAGAGGGCCAGATGGGAGCAGAGGACTGAGGAAAGCTAGGTTCCTCAGAATTCATCTTTAGTTTTGACATAATCCTTTAAGATTTTATTAATCTCCCATCCTTCAGCATCTTTCTTCAATTCTGATACTGTTTCTACAACTTTCGAATTTTCTTCTAAGTTATCAATTTTATCTTCTTGTAGTCACTCCTAAATCCCAGTTAAAGTGGGCTGCCCATTATCTTTTGTTTTATTGCCTGCTACTTATAGTTTCCTGTGCAGAAATACCAGTTTTGGAATCTCAAAGGTTCCCCACTGAGGGAACCACAAATCTGAGTTATCTCTGCTTTACTTTCCCATTTTTCCAAATACTTGCAGGTTGAAAGTCCCTAATTATCACACATAAAACTGGCTGGAGTATGTCCTTTGGTGTTTGGGTAGAATAAGGAATTAACAGATATCTACCGAGTATTCCACCCAAACACCAAAGGACATACTTTCTAC